CGACGGCGTCTTGCTAGTTCTTGCTAGTTCCGTGCAAATTAATCTGCTGCAAGAACACTTAAGACAGAGGAAGGGGCCGCCCTGCTCCGACCCTAGTAAGGACTCGTGGTGGTATCCAGCATATTTCCCACAGCCTCTGCCTCTGGAGGCTCGACTGCTGCCGGAGATCCTTTCACCCCAGCGTGAGATTTTGGAGCAAAAGGATGCCTGGGAGCTGGAAAGTACGGAGCCAACTGAAACCTGTTGGATTTGACGAACTGCAGCTTATTGGACAAAGTCGGCGGGATAGACTGGAGCCTGGTGGCTCTGCTAACAGAGAACTTACTCCTGCAGGATTTGCGCGGAAAGTGTGGCCGTTGGGAAATCAAAATATGCCAAAGTTGGGATGTTGGAGTTGGGATGGAGGCTCTTCTCTGTTCTGCTTCTTAATGGCACTTCGCTCCCCCCTTCCCCACCCCTTCGCTGGACAGGCTGGCGCCCTGATTTGGCTGCGGGATTGTGTCGCTCCTTCCTTGCGTTGGGCCGCCTCCTCTCAGCCCCACGTCGCGGCCTTTGAAAAACGAGGTCTGCAAGTTGGCAGACAAAAGGTGCGCGCCTGGACAGACCATCTGAGGGACAATCCCTGCCTGGCGCCCCCTCCCTTGTTTCGAAGGCGCTGCCTCTGAGTCTCCTTGGGGTCGTTCCCTCACAGGGCAGCCCGTTGGGCGTCCCTCCCAGCCCAAAGTGGAGCCCCCTGCCCCCTTGGCTCTACCAAACTGGAGAGGAAGCAAAAGGAGGACTTTGGAGGGCTCCGACCATGCCTTGAGTTTACCCTGACCCAGATGAATGGCCATGCGAGCGGCTCTCCCTCCCCGTTCAACCTCATTTGTTTTACACAAGTATTCTGCGTAACTAGAGGCCGTTGCTCCCGAAGGGCTTAGCTATGTGCGTGGCTGTGCGGGAGAAGCCCAAGAAGCAGAAAGGCTCAGGAGCCTGGAGGGTTCACCAAAAAGTCCTAGAGGAGGACTGGCCCGCTGCTGGTGGGGAATGGAGAAACGATGGCGACCTCCAGCAGCAGCGCCTTGCCTGGGCTTCCCTCGGGAGGCAGTTTGCCTTGAGGGGATCAGGAGAAATGTAGCATCCAACGTCTACTCCAGGCCCAGCGGAACCGGACGGGACGGGGAGCCCATAAGGGCCCTCCGGAGCCGGACCGAGGCTCCCTCCAGCACGTCCGAGTCTCTCTGCAAGGGGAGAAACCGGGGTGGTGGCAGGGGAGCGGCGGGGGTGCGGGGTGCCTGGCACCGGGGCCACCCCCAAACTCTGCCTTTCTTCTCTTCCCTCCTCAGGAGCTGGCAGCCACCCAGAGGACGAGGAGGAGGACGAGGAGGACGGCGACGAGGGCGAAGAAGGCAAGCGCGGCGGCAAGTACTCCAAAGCTCTCTCTGAGGAAGACGAAGTGATGTCGTCAGCGGGCGCCCCGGCCCCGATGGCGGCTTCGACGGCCCAGAAGCCCCGCAAAAAGCGCTCGCGGGCGGCCTTTTCTCATGCGCAGGTCTTCGAGCTGGAGCGGCGCTTCAATCACCAGCGCTACCTCTCTGGACCCGAGCGCGCCGACCTGGCTGCCTCACTCAAGCTCACCGCGACGCAGGGGAAAATCTGGCTCCAGAACCGGCGCTACAAGACGCAGCGG